GAGAGAGGGTTAAAAATGTCAGGTGGGCTGAAAATCTGCACTTTAAAAGGCATGAAAACCTTCCAAAAACCCCCAAGCCAATACAATTCAGGTGTTTTCTGAGGCTCCTTAAGACAGGTCAGAGAAGTGAAATAGGCTTCTTTAGCCAGTTCAAGAGACTTCTCTCTCAAACGGGCACCTCAGAAACCAAAAGGTTCTTCTGAAGTCTTGCCTAGGGAAAAGCTGTACTGGTGTTTGGGGGCGAAAAATACAGAAAGATTTAAACAGCAATTAACAGTGAATATGACTGCCCTAAAACATGTAGAAGAGATGGTTTACATATGGAGACCTCTTCCCAAAGGCAGCTAGATAAAAGGTCTGTAAATGTGAAACACAAAGCAAATCTGTGCTGAAAGGAGCATGAGCTTGAGATGCTAGTACAGTGGACATTTTCCTACAGATTTTTTTAAACCCTATATTGCTCATGGAGTGTGTTTTTAAAAGCTTTATGTCATATCTGAAGGTGATACACCCACATCACTGCACAGGACTCTCTATAAAAACAAGTCTATCTCCTAGTACCAGTAGAGTCAATAGTGCCACGCAGATGTTTCTGCACTTTTCTGGACCCGGGGATTAGTTCAGTCATCAGTACTTTGGGGTTCTCCATTTTGTGTTCCTCTGCATGACACAAACGTGTTTTTTTCCTATGCTACGTACCAGCAAACTGCAGTGAAATTTGAAAAACATTTGGAGTGGAGTGTATGTTTAGGTCTTACGACCAAGAGCAAGCACGAGAAGGGGAGTACATCCCAGAGGAGCTCTTCTGCCACTCCCAGAGAGGAAAGCTGACTTTTCAACAGCATTTAGTAAAGTAAATGGACTAATACAAGTTACTGCAGGGAGCGGACACACTGTCATGCAGGTGGTGAGCAACGAAAATAATGAGCTAGCAAAGGTCAGAAGAGAGGCAGCTGTTCTTCAGGAGCTACACCCAGGTGGGTGCAATGCAAGAGCTGTGTCTGAGGAAGGAAGATCTCAGCAAGAGCCAGCACACTTACTGGTCAATGCTCTGAGTGTTGTTGGCTTCAGTCACATCTTGTTAAAAAAAACTAAAACACTCCAGGAAAGAAAAAGCCTATTCACTTAGCTGGAAGCACAGCTCTGCACTTGATTCTTATCAGTGCAGGACAAAAATCATTCTACTGGTTCCTTTCAAAGATCTCTGAGTAGGAAAAATAAATTCTTCTTTTCCCCTGTTTCCGAGTGGTCTCTTGTTTTGCATATTCCTGTATCAATTTGTTGTGACTCTCCACTGTGCTTTGGGCAGCAGGGGAGGAATAATCCTGAGTCCCCAGATCATCTCTGAGGACTGCGAACTGTATGGATACAAAATCATCATGATTTGCAATGGTGTAATGATGCCATCTGATGTTCCAGTGTCACCTGTGCCCCCACAGTCAGACTGATGAGAGGTTTTGGACATACTGAAGTTTCAGAAACCAGATTGATAAATGCTGAGGATAAATGCTTATCATTTATAATTGATAAATAAATTGATAAACAAATAGGATCTCAGAATTTGTAAGGTGGGACAATTTGATATCAATGTATTTTCACCTACAAAATACACACTTTTTCAAGAAAATTCTGCAAACCAGCTGAGCCTTTGCCCCGAATTCAGAGCCCTGAGTTGGTGCCCAAACATATCTCCATCCATAGACATATCTCACCAGGGCTCAGTTTTACTATTCCCTTAAAAGAAACAAACCTCAGGTTTCACCTATGCAATTCCCTGAAGCCTGACTCTCCTCCACCATTGCTCCCCAGTTCTCTCCCTTGATAGTCACTCCTGTTTGTCCTGTATCCTCTGGGAAACCACAGGACCACACCACCTACCCTAGTGGGCCTTTACACAGTTTTTAAAGCCTGCTAAAAAGACAGCTCAGCAGGCTAGTCATCATTGTTAGGATTTACTTTTTTTTTTTTAACCATACAGCATCTTAAGCAGAGGATCAGAAGTTGCATTGCCTTTAGTCATCACTGTAACACAGAGAGTGGAAGAAGATAATTAGGACACCTGAAAAACCTCCAAACAGTGCCTCTACATTAGAAGAAATATTCAACAAAGAGGCAGTATCAGACCAGCAACTTCCAGCCTCCGAACAAAGGCACAGAGGCTTTGCTAGGATAGCAGTCAGAGGCGTCTTAACAGTAAGATTAATTGCTGGAAAGTAAATACTGACAACACACAGCATGTTACAAGATTGGAAATAAAGGCAAACCTTATACTGAGGAACTGGCCAGCTGAACAATACAGGCAAGGCAGCAGAGAAACATGGTGCCCCTTCTCTTTCTCTTTGGCATGGGGAGATAGGACATTGTGGGCTCAAAAGAAGAGTGGATTACACGAAATAACTCACATTCAACAGGCAACAGAAGTTAGAAGAAAGGAAGGACAACTGACTTTAACTGTTGAAGCTTCAGGATTGTTAAATAGAAAAAGTGAATACAAACACATGCCTTAGAAGCTGTCACACCCTCACAGGGAACTCTAATTTGTCTTTCTGGCAATTATCCTCCCTTGCCATCTCACACATGTTGCTGCCCTTTTTCATGGATGCAGGTGTCTTTTCCCAGCTGTATTAAGGGGCTTGTTGCTCCTTTTCTTCTACAGAAAGCTGAAACCTGAGGCTCATAAAGCTCTGCTGTGTAAGGAATGGCATTCAAGTTGCAGTGAGCTGGGAGAGCGAGGTTAAATCCATTCCGAAAGCCTGCTTACTCCAGGAGAAAAGAAACGCTCAGAATCAGTGCTGTGTGAAAGAGATGAACTTGGAAAGAATTAAAATGCAAAAGACGTGCAACTTGATTAGCTCTGAACTGAAAGACTTCCCAGTCTCTGAGCAAAGTGTTTTCAAAATGATGCATGTCCTTGTAAGATAAGAGAAACATCTTCAAAAGAATATTTGTGGGCTTATAAGCGCTTTACTCTGTGCAGAGAACTTCTAGTTCTCCACTCTCCGTTGGAAATGCAGCATGACAGCCTAATAGTTGCTACAGTTTTGAGGAGTTTAATGAAGAAAGCAGCGGTGGCAAAATCATTTGCATGGATTACATTGCTTGGCTTCACCACTTTTTAATTCCTCCGAAAGGCCTTTGCACAGAGCCCAACGAAGAAAATGAAACGAAGAGCAGAGCCCATCCCAGCACGCAGCAGGTGGAGCAGGACAGGGTTTGCTCGTCACCGACAAGACTTTATTTGATATTGGTTGAACTGAGGAGGAGGCATTTGGGGAAGAGAACTGTTGACTCATGCCTTGAGGAGTACCACAATGCAAAGCGTTGCTTTTGACAACTATATCAGCTGACTTCTAGTGGCGGGAAGAGTTGACCCCTTTAAAGAATTTACTTAAAAACGTACAGTTGACCTCATTCTTCAAGACCAAATTTAAGATTACAGGTCTATTTCTAACCAATCCATACAGTTCACTTCTAAACGATTGGAGAGTCAATGTTTATGAGCTTGCCATGGCAATTACCATACAAATTTTTGACCAAAATTCTGTGAGATGTGAGAAATTATAGGATTTGATCATTGCTTCTGGCCTGTAACTCACACTAGTTTTATAAGACTGAAAATCTTACAGAGTTGAAGACGCTTACAGATTTATAAGTTATTTAAGGTGGCACAAAATTTCTTCTTGACATCCTCAAAAAGATTCTACTGAGTTACAATTTTCCTTGCTTAATCTTGGCCTCATGACATGGGAATTTTACATTAAATCACCCATTATCTAATCTGAAAATATTTAAACCCTCCTGACTACCCTATGTATTCATTCTTCAACATGCACCTGAGAAGTAAGCAAAGCTAGAAACTTCCTGCCTGGCCTCTGTGTAATCTTAAGTCAAGAAAGTCAATTCAAACTCTAAGGAAATTGGTCAGACTGTGGGTTGATTTTTTTTCTTTCAAGTCATGCACATCTAAATTCAGCACTTCAGCACATTATCTGTGTTCTAATTTTCTCTTTCATTCCCCAGCCCTTTGTTAAGAAGGCATTTGTTAAGCACTTCATCAATTAAGGCTTCCTGTATTGAGTATAACTCACACAAGTATTTGCACGTTAAGGTTGTCACTGTTTAAAACGCCTTGGATCCCTCAAGCAGATATGCTGCTGACTGTATTAAACAATCCACATTTAAAACAGCCTGAGCTATGTTTGCTTCAGTTTCAAGCACAGCTTGCACTTCTGGTGATTTATCAACAGTGAGCTGGCACCAAAATCTTTCAGCCATGCCAAAGTACCTCCTTGAAAACTTCACAAGTATTTTTATTAATATTTTCTTTCTTTTTATACTCTTATTTTACCACTGGAAAAAAATTTAAAATACCACCAGAAAAAAAGAAAAATGTAAAATTGAGTTACTCAAGAGGCAGGCTATTAAAGAAGTTTTATTCTTACAACCCAAATGTAAGACAGGTCATTAGACCAGGTCTGGAACACGCTTGAGTCAGACAGCACTTAAGAGGTAGAAAACAAAGACCCGTTGTTTTCTTCTGGAGGACTAAACAGTCTATAATTTCAGTATAAGAAAGGGTTGGTAGTAAACAATCCCAGCGTTTCACCAGAACCACCTTTTTAAGGCAATACGTACAGCAAGAGATAATATAACATCATTGAGACTACAAATAGAGAAGGCTGTGAGAAACATTAAAGATACTCAAGAGCGGTCAATAAATGATGAGCCTAATGTTAAATTAAAATCGTTGTTGGCAAATGGGAGGTAGTGTACAAATGAAGGAGTGATTTTAGTCACTCAAAGACTTTCCTTGGTCCTAAACCAGTTACAGCCTTTGAGGTAAAAACTTGAGCACTACTGAGAAAAACAATTAAAAAAAAAATCATTTCCAGGTCCAGCAACTACTCAGAAAATGTAAAACATAATAGAGCAAAACCAATCAGATTAAGTATTAAGAAGCCCCTTTATGAACCACTGGAATGCAGTTTTCTACTCTTCCTACCTTGCATCAAAAATAAATGAGAAAAACAAACACACAAACAAAATGCTGAGGGAGGATCCTATAAATATTAGAAGCCTGGAGAGCCTTCCATGGGAAGAGAGGGGATTGAGCACACTGGTTCTGCATGCTTTAGAGCAGAAAAAAAAAAATAGGACGAAACATGGCAGAGAGAAATCAGAGAAAGAAAAGTAAGAAAGAGAAATATGAAGTGCACTCCTGAGCTCTTCCTCTCACTGCAAAAAGGCAACATGTTTAAAATCGAGGATAGGACATACTGTTTGGTGGGTTGGTTTGATTTTAAAAAACAAACCAACTCTTAACGAACTGCAACTGTTAACGTGTGGAACTCCTTGCTACAAGGTTCAATGAGGTCAAGGATGTTAGAAGGATTTAAAAACAATTAGATGTTCAGAAGAATAACAACAAGATCCTCCAGAGTTACATTAGAGCAGATCACCAACAGCTTTTGCTCGCTCTTTTATGCGAAGAGCCCATTACATCTCACTGCCTGGGGTTGTTGCAAGAGATTTCTGTGCAGGCTGGGCTGGCTGTGAACCTCCTCCCTGGCTGTTGTCCTCCCCACACCCAAGCAGTTTGCTTTGGCCATTGTCCCACACACAGTCCTGGAAAAGGAAGACTGAGTATCTAGTTTGGAAATTCATGGTCATTTCATAGCTGAAATGCTGGCCTCTGAAACAGAAATGGGTAATCCCCACTGACGGCACAATCCCAAATTTCAGCGCCTGAATTCTAAACCCTCGATTCTCTGTTTGGGTTAGCTTTTGTACTACCTTTTGTATTCAAAGATTTACTAACACTGTTAAGCTGATTTTAATTATTGTTATTATTCAGCTGTACTAGGAAGCTTTTTTAATATTCCTATTGTATTTTCAACAATGCCTTTACAGAAAATTTTTATTATTCCCTGATTCAGCTATTTTGCATACACTTTGCTGTTCTAGAAAACCTTCTGGATCTTGTGTTATTACACAAAATAAAAAGATGGGCATTTTACAGCAGTTTCAGTCTGTACTGTTGTGGCATTTATTCAGCACTGGCACCACAGAAATAGAAAAGCCAGCCATTTCCACAGGGATGCAAAGTAGGAGCAGAAATTGGCTGTATGTTTTTTAACTTTTCCACCTCAATTTTCAGACAAGTTCAGCTAATGACCTCTGCATAGCTCTCCTTGGCAGAACAGTCACCAAAATGAAATAAAGCAACCCACATCCCTGCAAGGGAATTCTCATGTTTATTTGACTGGTGGGGAGACCAGGATTTAGAGACCAAGAAATCACGAGAACCTCAAAAGCAAGATGGCACTAGAGCCAAGGGAGAACCACGGCGCACTCCACTCCAGCCACTGAATAAACCATTAATTAACTTGAATTTGAGGTAGCACAAAAGCTGTAAACAAATGGGAAGACAAATTATAAATGGAAAGTGAATGATTCTTTTTTTTGAATCCTACAGAACCACAGAATGAAGTGTGGTTACCTAACTGAGGACAGTCACAGTGAATAAAAGTCTGTCAATACAACTGGCACTCAGCTGTCACTCTGTAGAATGCTATGGGAGATAATGGGTTCAAGCCACCGTATAAACCGCTGCTACTTCTTCCGATTCTACATTTCAATGCTTCAGTCCATTTCCTCTCTGGCCAGGTTGTCAAAACTCATACCCAGAGCTCTGCCCTCCAGGGAGGTACTGCAGCTGCCCCCGCCCAGTGCTCCCAGCAGCAGGGCAGAGCCCCACTCCCCTGAGCACATTAGCCTGGCAGAACGCTTCGGAGGAGAAAGCAGAAGCAAAGCAGGGGGAGACACGTGAAAATGCCAGATACTGGCACCCAGGTTGTGCACATCAAACAGGAGCTGTAAATCCAGACAAAGAGCCACTTCAATGCAGAACAGCACCAGGAGGCTCTGGCCCTGCCTTGCGCACAGCTTATGCACGGGCAACACTGAATGAGTTGCTGTAACCATACAATCACTTCCTTGCAACAAGCACGTTTTAGTGCATCAGGCCTCTAGCACCAGTACAGATTTCAAAACAAGGAATGACGACAAGGCCCTTAGCACGGTGCCAGCCCACGGTTTGGGAGCAGCACAGGGTGTCAGTTCTGCCACTGGTCGATCAATCAGTTGACATCTGGCCAGTCACTATATAATGTTGGAGCCCAGTTTCCCCGTTTGTAAAGGGCAAGGATGAAGCTGACCTGCCTAGAAAGGCACCTGAAAATCTATTTGAGAAACCATCACTTCATTTTCTCTCTATCCTTTGTTTTAAAAGGTATTTTCACTTTACTCAGATGTTTCAGCTTCTCAGAAAAGCAAGTAAAGAAGCAAATTAGCCCCAAAAGTTTTCTTGATGCTATCTGAATGAATTGTACTGTGGTTATGGCAATATATATATAAGCTACTCTATAACGCAGAAAGGTTATTGGTAATCTTTACTGTTCGATAAAAAGGAAAAGAAAAGCATGCCATTTTTTGTTAAATTTGTGTGTTTGGGTCCTTGTTAAAGTTACTCTTGGCTTGCAATAAAGTGCAATGTTCAGTTATAATAGTTATAAAACAATGTTAATGTGTGCTGGGGTGAGTTTCATGCAAGTGATCTCTGTAGCTCATAAAATGACACTCCAGTGTATTTTACCATCCTAGCAAGAGAGGCTTATAAAACAGCTGTGGTGGAAAGTAAATAAAATATAAATGACTCATATAAGGGAACAGTTTCCCCACTGTGGAGACTTTGGGCACTGTATCACTTTTTATATTATACTGTATTAAGACAATTGCTTTGATCTCAGCAATAAAGTTGGCCCAGGCCCTTTATTTTTGCTTAACCAATCTGAGATCTTTTGCAATAACTTTAGTGTGACTGCTCGGAAACAAGCCCAACAAAAACAACAAGTGCTGGCTGGGCCCTCTCTAATCTTGGGTCACCTCAATGGCCAGCAACACCAAGGGCTACTTCTGGGGCCCTTGTCCTCTGTCATCACCAGACTCCATTTGCCACAAGACATACTGAACCAAAATCAGCAGATCTCTCTCCTTACCTGCTTTGAAGATCCACTCCAAGTACCCATTTAGTTCCCGTTCAATTTGCTGCTGCCTACGGAGTTTCAGGAAAGCTCGACGATTTTCTACCCTCTCTCGTTCTTTGGCAAATTCACTATAGAGAGAGAAGAATGAGAAGGTACATGTCACAAGTGGCCAGGGAAAATACACAGCCCTTCTTTTGTCCTTCACGTTGCTTTCATGCAGCTTGTGAAGTTGGTGACAGGAGTAGTGAGTGGAAACCACAGTATGCTACATGTTGGTGTCCAACAAACTACTACTTTGATTGTAGCTCAGCTGTTTCTCTGCCTCTCTCACCCTGAAAGAGGACTGCAAACTGCCACGTGCACACACTTGTTCTAGGGCCACACCATATCCATCACAATGAGATTCTGTTGCACAACCACATATACCTGTCCAATCATGCAATCCAAATTATCATCCCCAACGCTAAGAACTGTCCTCCATCTCTCTCTGCACCACCCACTCCACAGCAGAATTTCCTCTAGAAACACAAAATTATGTCACAGAGACACCAGCACTCTTTTGGTGTTGGGAGAGATCTACTCTTCCCTGTTGGCCTTTCTTCCATTTTTCCCAGGCTTAAGATGACTTTGTCAAACACAAGTCAAAGGAGAGCTACAAGTGAGGATGGGTGCTCTGAGGTCCAGGTGAAATAGCCCAGACGCTCTGGGTTGAGGGTAACCATGATCCTGCTATTTGCTAAAATCACATGGAAAACAAGTATCTTGATATCAAATCATTAGAACAAGACTGTACAGGGGAGTCAGAAAGTAAGGTTCATCCAGCCATTGCAAAAATCTTGTCCAAGTACATCCTACTGCCTAGTTTGAAATGATCTTGAGACAACAGTGCAGCCACCACCTTAAGACACCCAGGCTGAGGCTTTCCCCAAATTAATTCATATCACCTCTGGGAAGTTCCTGATGCCCCACCTGGAGATACATGTGCCCATCTACCATTTATAAGGCTCTGAACCAGGCTCTGCAACCCCTCGCTTTGAGCACACACTGGAGTGGCTCTGCAATAGCTTAATTTGTATGGTTAAATTCAGGATCGGGCTTTTAACCCTTGTATACACCAGCAGTTCACTCATTCTCTCATTTGACATCTTAACCCTGCCATGTCCTTCAAATCCTCAGTTAACTGTTAGTTGTTGCAAAGCTGTAGTTAACCACTGTTCTTGACTGAAATCTCACCCAGTCACCTGTTCATTACCCACACATGCTCCTCAAAAGCCAGCAAGGAGCAGGAGATGGGAGGAAGGAGGAAGAATGGGGAAAAAGGAGCCGCAAGTGCCAGAGGCAGCTTTGTATTCAGTCAATACTTTACCCTTCAAAGCAGAGACTTTTGCTTTGTTTGACAGGACTGTCCGATCCATGGAGAAGGGACTGCAGGGAGAACTTGGCACAGCACTGTGTCACACACCAGTACCAGGCACTGATGTGAGAGCTGCCATCAGCTGAGTCGTCATCTGCACATCCCAGTCTCCTGACTCCCCTCTCCTGTCCCTCACCTGGCAGCATAGTCCATGACCCTGTCCTTGAAATGGAGGAAGTTGAAGCATCGCTCTTAATCGACAGCTCCTCCTTGGCATTCAGCGTGTGTCTACCGGGTGATTCGGGATCCTGCACATGTCAGCTGGATCGCCAATTTTCTCCCTCTTCCTTTTTAATGTTCTCATTTCTGGTTCAACGCCTGCTGGTTGGGGCCACGGACCTCCTCTCAGTTTTGATTTCTCTCTGGAGTCGGAGGAATGAGATCAGACAGCACAAGGTGACAACGTGAATTTAAATTGCCAGACGTGGAAGGTCCACGCTTCCTGCGTTACACGTTCGTGTCACCGCAAATTTCCCAGAGCTGGGCTGTGCCGGATGGGATCAGGAGGCAACACTCAGCGAGGAGTTTCTTGAAGGACCGCAGCAGGCAGGAAGGACAGCAGATGAGCCGTGGCATCGCTCCCTTACCCCTCAGGAGCAGGCAAGGGAAAGCCTTTCATCCTCCGCCAGCTCCTATCTGGCCTAAGGAAAGTAAAAGCTACCTAGGACTTGTCCCTTTAATCTCAACTTTAAACACATAAGAAAATCAGGGAGAAACTGTGCTAAGTTGCAAACCTTCAGTAGTTTTCTGTACAGCCATGCATGCTTTTCACAAGTCACCAGTGAGGAATGTTGCTGAGGTTAAAGCCACCTGCACCCTCCTGTTCCTTGGAGCTGGCAGGTTTGGCACTGCCACGGAAGGTGGGAAGGCAAGCTCCAGGAGAAGGCAGTACCTTGGGTCTCTGCTCACTGAATGCCTTCTGAGTGCTACAGAGCTGTAGCAAAATCATCCAAGGTTGAAGACTGGAGGGTCTTGATGTATGGTCCTCCTGGCAGAGGAATGCATCACTTGCTCTTTCTCCTGTCGCCAGGAGAGAGGTTTGATGAAGCTGGAACTTGTCAAAAGATTGTGTTTTTCTTTATGAAATGTATTAATAAAAACATCTGTCTCTCTTCCACTACGTTCATCACCATTCAGGAACTGAAATAGTCCCCAATTACAGCAACTGGAAAACTCCCAGAATTTCTGTTTGAGAGCTTTTCAACAAAATTTCAGAACGTATTCAAGGAAAAGGGGAAAAAATTATATCAAAATGCCATATTTTATCTAAAAATATTTCAGCTGAAATGGAAACACAGAAAGTCCCATGGGAATGTTTGGTTGAGGTAAATAAGTTTCCTCTTTTATTCAGCATAATCTCTCTTTATGCCACTGACTTACAAAAAACTCCAAATCACCAGAAAGAAAACCTGAGCAGGAAATATGCTGCCTCCTACCCAGCTTTACCTCCAGGACTTTCTTCATAGGTGGTCCTCCACGTTTTGGAAAATTCTGGAATGAGTAATAATGTTCACCCAGTCTCATCCCTGGCTTTCATCAATGACCACGTGCCCCAAAAGTCCACCAAAACATTCACCTTTCAGCACTGCCCGGACAGGCATTAAGAGGAGGAAAGGTCAGTACTCCTACACGCAGTACAGCAACAGGAGACACTGCTTTGGAGGAAGCTGAGCTCTGCCTGGGTAGATGACTACAATGCATTTTCATTACAGCATGACAGTTGTGAATAACTAATTCTATAGAGACAGCAGGAACAAACAGAAATGAAAGAAAGGGCACTCATCACAGATGGAAACCACATGCCATCCAGTCAAGCTCAATGTGTCACATTTTTCTTCTCAAGAGTGGTTGGGGCTTAAAGTCACCAGGAAAATGGATGACTGCTGCTTATCACCTTGGTGGGTGGAAGAGTAAAACAAATCTCAGTGTAAATATGCACTGGAAGAGCCACTTCAGGGAAAGCCAAGAGCCAAGAGCCCCTCCCAGCCACAAAAGAGACAAGGTCAACTCATGAGTAGCCACCAGGGTCAGTAAAAGATTATACACCAATGAAATTCTTATGGGTACTTTATCCATGCTGGTCTTAAATTAAAAACAATGCAACCAAAAAGGGAAAAAAAAAAAACAAACAAAACAAAACAAAACAAACAACAAACCATCATCCTCTGAATCTGATTAACTTTCCTATATGACAGCAGAGAGCTGGGATGAAGCATCATGTAATGCATCTCCTGGTCTTGGGTTTCATGGCACACTCCCAGGGCCAGCAACAGCAGGCCTGCTGCAAGACTAATCACCCCATTAAACCTCTGCAATTCAGGTTTTCCACTTAGAAAGCAGACAGAAACACTTCCCACTCACAGGGAAGAGGCACAGAGAGATGATATAACATTGCTGTCATTGCTACCATTAATAGTGCTGACGATTAGCAATTCTTAATAACAACAGAGGTAATTAGCTCCTCATTCAGAATAATACCACTGAGCTACACAAGATTTCATGAAATCTCAGATCTTAGAATGGGAGAACAGCCTTCATCTACTGAATCCAAAGCACTATTCAAAGTGAACAGAAAGAAGCACAGATCTCAGAAGGACTCCACCAGGGACTCCTGGAAAGCTGCTGTAAAAACTTTAACAATTTTAACTCTAAAACAAAAAAAATTATCAGTTTCAGAATTGGCTTCATCTCCAGTCCAAATACGTCAGTGGAATAAGTAAAGTTGAGTCCGGAAGGCACGTGACATCTAGGGACATAGTCCTGCCTGGAGAAACACAGCCCTCAAGGATGGAGAGGAGCCAGATAATTCAAGTGGGTGAGCTCTGGCGAAGGAACCAGCCAGGACTGCAGATGTTTGACTGAGTTACTCACAGGCCAAAACAAATTCTCCAGGTGGAGGAACAAAATCCATCAAGACAGGAGACTTAATTTGTCAGCTTTGTTGCTTGAATGTGGAGCGTTACCCAAGAACAGATTTGATACCTGTCAGCAGCCCACGTCACTCAGGAGCAGGGAAGGACAGGCTGGAGGGAGAAGACAGGAAACAAAACTCCTCTGGCTGCCTGACATACAAGTTGGAGGAGCATCACATGTGCTGGGATAGTAGCAGCGGTACAAAATCATGATGTTGTGCTACTCGAAGGCTGCCTGGATGAGTGGAGGTGAAGCGTTAAAAGCTCCTCTCTGTTTCAGTCCACCCCTCTTAAAATCAGCAAGAAAAGAACCTCAAAAGAAACCTGGTGTCAATTATCCACCTAACTCGCAGTAAGCTTTCAGCAAGAGCAACACTGAGGTAGGAATTTCCATAAGAGGCTGCAAAGGGACTGCAGAGATAAGAACATGCACTTGTAGCACCCCAGACAGATGAACATGCTGGATGATAAGAGAGGTAAGATGAACGTGATATTATTTGCATTTTTCAGTAAAACCAAACCTCTTGTGTTCTTGGCAGGCTGCAACCACTTACTCAGGGGCTGTACATCACTTAGGAGATCCTCCAGAGTGCCTTAGGGTAACTTCTCAGCACAGGGACCGCACTCATCTCCAAGCCTCCCAGCATCCTGAGAGCACCCACATGCAAGCAGAAACACTTAATTGCATTTTATGAGTGAAGTCCATTTCCTACCATTTATTTTGGTTAATCAACTGTGAGAAGAAAATAGAGAGTGAGCCTTCAGTTAATTTTTTCTTTCCCTCTCAGGTCTGTTTCTGATG